ATGAAAGAAGAGACAGTGGGAGCTTTGGCAGTAGCACCAACACACACTCATCCCAGCATGTCGGCCAGCTAGCTGCCAATCTCTCCCCCCCTCCCCCCCTCCGCTCTCTGCCTATAGTGAAGCGCTCCAGGTCGTTGGAAGATTAGCCTGTTGGTCAACCTGCTTATGCAGGAGTGAGAAGATGCTCCCGTGCTTTATGCTAACACTCAGGTGTCAACTAGCGGGGGCTGCAACTCACTGTTATTTCCATTTATTGGTTAATCTGCTGATTGTTGTCTTTTATCTTTTTATTTATTAATGATTTGGTCCCCAAAATGTCTAAATCTGAATGAGAATCGCCTTAATTAGCAAAGTACTTTTGCACAAGCAGTTTTCTTGCCTCTTACTTGATGTACTTATACCGGAGAAGAAATAACAGCTGAGAACAAGGACAGCAAAGCTGGATGATTATGTACAGTATATACAGAGACAACTATGTCTATGTAGAGCTTGTGGAATTGATATTGACAGTACCAGATGATATGTACAAAAAGAAAAAAGCTATCTTGTTAAAGGGTTGCTGACAGTGCATGACGCGATGTTTCCTGCCCATTTCCTGATTCTGGAGGTGTTTAAATCCTGTGTGGAAGGCACACTGGCACCATGATTTTCTCTGCAGTCCCGAGTGTCCGTTGCAGTTTGTTCCTGTCCTGTTTGGTGGCTCATCCAAAAAAATGTAAAGGAGTGAAAATGACAATCACAATTTCTCTAAGCCCAAAGAAACATCTTCAAATTGCTTGTTGTTTTTCATTAACAACAGTGCGAAACCCAAAGATGTTCTGTTTAATCGATTATTTGTTATTTTCTTAAAGACGCGTGTACATTCCGTGACATGTGTTGAACATGCTCTGGTGACAGTATTGATTGAAGGCAGCTATTAATTGCTTCGAGTCATCGAGTGACTGCAAACTGCCTTGACTCCAGCGCTGAGATCCAGGATTAACTCGCTTATCTTTGCACTCGAAGTTGACCTGTCCTCTTTTCAAGGGTAGGGACGGTAAATAAAAAAACAAGGTGGAATACAGGGACCATAAACAACTAGCATGTCGTTGATAAAGTGCTTGGCATTGTGCATTAGCTGGCTGTTTATATTCAGTTTTACAGGAGAGGGCAGAGGGCCAAGGATACCTACTGTACATGGCAACAATTTAACGTCTCCACCCGAGATTAGTACAGGCTTTTTGGTCACTCTACAGTATAATAGATCTTAAGAGTGTGTAGTTAAGATTGTGTCTAAAATGCCCGTGTGGTATTGACATCCGTAGGTTTCTTTTTCAATCAGGGCCAGTTACTAAAGGCAAACCATTAGTAGCGTCAGTGTCTGTGTTCTAGGGCTCTTCAGCAGACAGCTTTTTGCAAACTTAGTCAGTTCTTCACAAGCTAGATGGTTCACTAAGGATTTAATTTAAGAAAAGATAAACGTATTCATGGAATCTGTCTCACTTGAAGTGATAATGAAGGTCAGATATGCACTTTTGCCCTTTTTTTGAGAAAGTGGACTAAACTTCTTTTTAAAGTTTCCCCAATCCAGGATTTTCACTGAACAGACGACCTGTCAAATGTCATGTTTTACCTTTTGAGACTCGGGTTTTATGGCCTTTACCATCGTCTCATGTCCATAAAATGAAAATCTCCCCGATTGTTCCATCATCAAAGAAAATAAAAAGTGGTAATCCTAGATCAGCGTTAAAATGCTGATGGACTGCATAATGCTGACCTCAGTTCCGTGTCCTTTAAAGTTCAGTCAGGGAGTGGGGCCATCACACTGACAAGTCGGAGCTAAGTGACTTCCATCTTTGGCTGTGGTTCAGGAGTGCTACGGCTCAGCTGCTGCTGAAGGATATCCACTCGGTCCATTCACAGATCTGTACCTGCTACACAGCACAGTGAAAGTGTGCAGTGCTTACTCAGAAGCTCTGGCTCAAGATGTGGCATGAAATGGGACCGGAGCAGTCTGTACTTGCACATATAGAAGAGGCAAAAGAATCCCCTCGCTGTTTCATGCCAAATCTCATGCAGCAAAGCCTGTTTAGTGTATACTGTTTGCTTGAGAACCTGCAAATATATAGCTTCTCGAGCTAATGTTGTGTTGAAGGGAAAAGATCAGCAAAAAAAAACCCCACTTGTCAGCAGCAAGGTAGCAGGCTGTCAGAGATAACAACAGGCCGGCTGCCATTGCTTAGGGTGTTGGTGGACTCTCCTCCAAAACACAAGAAAACCCTTCAGATTTTGAGGTAGGGCTTGTTTGAGAAGCACCGTCTCCTGCTGGGGTGTCACGTAAAGCAAAGCAGCAAATACATAAATAAATAAATATAAGATACAAGTAGAATTTTGAATGGGGAGTTTATTTCTGGAACCTGGAGTCTGATGTCAGAAGTCTATAGGATGTAGCTGTTTCAATAGAGCCACAGTCTCTGCACCCAACAGCACACGACCAAGCAGATAGAGAGCTCATAGAAAAACGTGTGGGCTGAAGCCAGAAAAACAGAAAGGTGAGTC